TTGTATTAGGAAGTCCACTTCTTTTCAATTACTATCTAATCAATTTTGAAAGTCTATATTATTTTGTTTAGGAAGTCTATGTTATTTTGTTTTTCTTTTATATAAGGATGTTTGTTGTAATGGCTTTTTGTTATGAGACTAGTGGTTGGGCACGTGCATTGCACGTGGCACATGATTTTTCATTAACGGTTAGTATGCGTGTCTCTTAAATTGGTATGTGATATGTATACAAAGTATGGACACTTATATAAATAAATTGATCTATATCCAAAATACAACTAAGTAAGAAATGAATACATACTCGGCTAAATAATTTAAATGATAAATGAGAAATTTTATAAACATAAATATTAATTTATAACTAAATTGTTGAGATCACAATCTTATCTTAAACAATAAATAATAAGAAGATCCTTTAAATATATAGTATTATACAAAAAAATTTCTATCAACTTTTCACTTTAATTTTTCATAATCCATACCTATAATACAATTAAGAGTATGAAATTAATTGCACAACTATACATTTTTGTTTAATAGTTTATCTCATAATACAAATTCATTAAACCACTATTACATGTTATTTGTATACTATTGATGTAAGAATGTATTAATATCAATATGTAATATATTTTTATACATAAAGAGTTGTTGAATCTCATTTCTTATACTATGAATATCATGCATGATGAAAAATATAACATTAGTTATTTGTATATTTTCATTTATATGGAAAATAATAGTTTTTTTAAGGAAATAGAATGACATTACAACTTAATATTTTGATCAATATACAAATTTCATAATTGTTTTCACGATATTTATAGATTCATGCTTATAAGTGTTTGTAGGGTTACTTTCATGAAACTTTCAAATTACATAACTTATTATGTCATCTATAAGTAATCAGCACATGACAAAAATTGATCAAAATTTTTATTTAGTGTACTTACTTTCTACATCATTAAATTGCTACGATAATGTTTGGACATCATTTGATTTTTTTTTCCTTGTAATTTGACTAAAATATGTGTATGAGGTGCATTGTTTTTCTTGAACTTCATAACAGATAGGACAATTCTTATTTCAGCTTGTCTAATTTTGCTTGGAAAACATGTTGCATTAGATTTTCTTTAATTTTAATTTCACCATCTTCTTACTCACTATTATAACTATCGTAATAAAAAAAAAAATTGATGAATAAAAGTTTAAGGCGATATCATATTATTATGAATTTCAAAATTCATTTTCCCTCAATAATATGATTTTTTTTTGCGAGGGGAAAAAAAATACAATTATTGTTGTGATAGAGGTGTTTTGCAAAGTCTTGATTTGTTATTAAAAGTGTTTATTGTGGTCACTTGTTTGTATGACATGTATGTATATATGTATTGAACATAAATTGATAGGAGAACAATACACAAATTAACAATTTTTTCCTAACAAATATAGCTATATCACTAAAGCAATATATGTTAGAAAATTAAAATATCGGATGAAAACAATATAATACAGCTAACAATGGGAAGTTAATTATTCATAATTAAATAGCTAGCCATAATATAGATGTTTAGTGTTATATTTTTGTGTGTATGCACCATTTTTTAATTAGATTATTAAATTCACATAAAAATTGAAAGAAATTTGTAAATAATTTGTGTAAAATTAGATATTAGTGAAGAAAGATTTTAAAAAAGAGAAGTCTATAGTGTTCGGTTTAATTTATTTTTTCAAACTTTTGTTTTGAATTTTTTGGTTTTTATATTTTTGTCTTTGACACATTTTTTTTAGTAACCCTTTTATTTTCTTTTTAGATTCACTTAATTTAATATTTTTTTTTAATTTTTACTTTTAGATTTAGATCCAGTTAATCTAAATACACTTAGAAGATAATTTGTTGTGTATTTTTTTTTGGAAAAAAATTATTAATATTAAAAATGAATAATAATTACAAAACATATATATATATAATAAAAAAATCAGTACATATTTGAATTTATAAAAAAAATTATCAATATTTTACTTTTAAATTTTATTTAGATTATTAGATATTAGATATTAGATTTTCATGTAAAAGTATGATCTAAATATAAAAAATATGAAGAAATTCTAATATCTTTAATTACCAAAACTGAGAAAATATAAAAAAAAAATCAAAAACTAAAAAACAGATTTAAAAAATAAAACCAACGAAAGTGGTTCTTGTTTAGAATTTTGACATCATACGTTAATTATTAAAGTACTATGTAATATATTACACTTCATAAAATATAATTTAAACAAAAAAAAAAGTGTATGAAGATAACACATGCACTTTCCTCTGTTTAGATTCGAAAGAATGTATATGACTTTAAGATTCAACTAAAATTATTCACAGTAATTTGATATAATGATGGACAATTATAAATATTATGTATATCAGTATAGAAGAAGACACAAGAAACAAGAAAGAGTAATTATTTTTTGTTTTTCAATTATCATTAATGTAAAAAATAGGGAGACGACCTTTATATATATATATATATATAAGAAGGGAGACGGTGTGTTTATATTTATACAGGACTTTTGAAAAATAAAGAGATAATTGATTTATATATGACTCTTCATGACTTTTAGAATCATATATATATATAAATATAAACAAACAATTTTCCTTATTTTTTTATAAAAAAAAAAGTCTCCATATTTTTTACATTCATGATGATTAAAGAATAAAAAATTATTATTATTTGTTATTTCTTGTGTCTACTTCTATACTGATATTTACAATTTTTCATGTGAATAATTTTGGTTAAATCTTAAAATTGTATGCATTCATTTGCAATTGTTTGAATCTAGACAGAGGAAAGCGCATACGTTTTTAAATCAGCAATTTATATTGCATCTCAAAATTTCACAGGTTATCTTCATACACTTTCTTTTTGTTTGAATTATATTTTATAAACTGTAATATTGTACATAGTACTTTAATAACTAAAATATGATGTCAAAATTCTAAATAAGAACCACTTTAGTTAATTTTATTTTTTAAATTTGTTTTTCAATTTTTTAATTTTTTCAAATTTTCTCAGTTTTGGTGATTAAAGATATTGGAATTTCTTCATATTTTATATTTAAAGTACCATGTAAAATATTACACTTCATAAAATATAATTTAAATAAAAAGAAAGTGTATGAATTCCTCTGCCTAGATTTGAAAAAATGTATACAACTTTAAGATTCAATTAAAATTATTCAAAATGATTATTCACAATGATTTAATATAATGATGGACAATTGTAAATATTATGTATATCAGTGTAGAAGAAGGCGTAGGAAATAAGAAAGAGTAATTATTTTTTTTCTTCAATTATCATCAATGTAAAAAATAGGGAGACGGCCTTTTATATATATATACAAGAAGAGAGATATAGAATTATTCATGACTTTTACAAAATATAGTAGATTTAAAAGGGTAAAATTGGAATTTAAAAAAAAGTAGAAAACATATAGGCTCTTCACACTTTTATAATAGTAGTAGATTAATAATATTTAGAGTTTAAGTGACTAATCTCCAATTCTAAGGATTGTTGGTGGTTGATTCCGTAATCAAAAGATCAATTCAAGGTTTAGAATCCTATCATCTGGTATCAGAGCATTCGATCTTTAAACTTCCATCTCTTCATACTCTATCATATATCATCATCAATATGACAATTAAGGAACTCAAAGAACAAGTTGTTGCTCTTACTATTAAGATGGGTGTGATGCCTACTAATATGCAAGAGTTGATACATGATAGACAAGCCAATAATACCATTTTTTAGAATATCCAAGTGCAGGACAGGCAAGAACAACCTTGCCCCTAATCTGAAGCTCGCCTTTCCCAACTTGGCATCAACCTTAATCCACATATAGTACTCGACGATGACAATCGGCGTGTTGGTCCAAATTTTCAGGGTTGAACTCTCCGAATTGACTTTCCAAAATTTAACGATATTGATCTTGAAGGGTGGTTATTGCGAGCTGAACAATATCAAGCACTTAATGGTGTTTTAGATGCACAAATGGTTCCTTTGGTTGCAGTGCACTTTCAAGGAATGCTATTTCTTTGTATCGTTGGATTAAATTGTCCCCTGGGGTTTTGACTTAGCAGCAATTTTCTCGAGCCATATGCACTTGTTTTGGTTCTTGACAACACATTGATCCTTGTATTTCATTAGTCAAATTGTTTTAGATTTGCACTACTCGTGAATTTGTTACGGAGTTTGATCCTTGTAGTTCATTAGTCAAAAAGGACTATTTGTTATGAAATTGAAAATTTTAAAGGGTGAGATGTAATTTTTAGAATCACATGAGACAATTTATATTTTAAGTAAATCTAAATAGATGTATTTATAATTTATCATTTATAATTTTGTTATTGACTAGTATTATTTTATTATTGATTAGTCAATGAATCCAATTTTTTCCATTATGCTCAGTCAATTTCATTGACTATATCGCCCATTGTAAACACAATAATAACTGGATAAATTATAAATACATACTTAAAATTTGTTTAAAATATAAATTGTCCTTTATAGTTTTAAGAATTACATCTAGTCTCTTTAAATTTTAAATTATATAACAAAATGATCAATTTTATTAATAAATCATTAAAGCAATTTATAATTTTTAATGATGTCAAAAATATATTTAATTAACAATTTTCATAATTTTATTATTGTATACTAGAGTAATTACAAATTTTGTTTTTTCTGTTAATTATATTAAATAAAAAATTCTAACGAGAAAATATTTATAATTTACAAAACTAAAGAAATAATTCATATTTTAAACAAATTTTATATGATACATTTGTAATTTACCCATAATAGTATAATGACATCTAACAACCCATCCCCAAATATAAAAAAATAAAAAAAGTATAGCAAAAGACCAAGAAAATTGACAATATGGCATTTTACAGGAACATTTTATTATCCCTCAATCACTGAGAAATCGCCAACCTAAAAACCATGAACCCTGAAAAATGGGTCTTCGGTGCAATATTATTGCTTCTGGTTCTTTTCTTTGGACTTGGCAATTCCACTGACACTATAACTCCAACCCGACCCATCAAAGACGATGACATTTTGGTATCCGATGGTGAGACCTTCACACTTGGGTTTTTCAGTACCAAAAATGAAACATCCAATCGTAGATATGTTGGAATATGGTACAACAAGATCTCCGAACAAACCGTAGTTTGGGTTGCCAATCGAGATAACCCAATCAACGGTTCCTCCGGAGCAATATCCATCAACCAAGATGGAAACCTTGTCATCTACGAGCACAATTCCCAAAATAACATTACCACAACACTTTGGCAGACAAATGTTTCGACAAGCAGTTCTTATTCAGCTCAACTCTTAGATTCGGGGAATTTGATGTTGTTGTTTCAAGGTGGTGATACTAATAATGGAAGTGTTGTTGTGTGGCAAAGTTTTCATTATCCTACGCATACTATGCTACCAAACCTAAGCTTGGGCTGGATTGGAGGACCGGTCTAAACCGGTTCCTGACATCTTTGAAGTCAAATGATGACCCCAGCACGGGAGAATATTCCTTCCGGAGGGACCATCGTGGGTTGCCCCAGTCATTCTTGTTCAAGGACTCGGGCCCAACGTCCCAGTATTGGCGAACAGGGCCATGGATGGGTGACAAATAGAGTGGTACACCAGAGTTGCCACTTAATTACGTATTCAATGTTAGTTATGTTGACAGCAATGAAGAGTTTTCTGTGATGTATGGTCTCACTAATGCCTCAATCATGTCGATGATATTCTTGGATGAATCTGGGTATTTACAACAGAGCACATGGGATGAGAACAGTGCTAGATGAGTTGTGTACGGGGAGCAAATATTCCAACGAAGCCCGTACTCCTTTCTACCAAGCTCCGTGTCTATTCGATTGTCTTGCAAACACAACGGCGGTGAGCTACCCGACGGTGTGTGGCTGGAAAACCCCTCCGACGGTCAAGTTAGCACACACTCAGGGATAGAGAGAGAGAGAGAGAAGAGAGTCCAGTGTTTAGTGTATCTCACTAAATGATCATCTGCCTCAGCATGGGGGGCACAGACACGCTTATATACCTTCTGCGCCCCAAATCTACTCTCATTAGTTCCTCGACACGTGGTGCTGCTATCCCATCTATCAGCACAAATCCAGCAATCACCACCTAACCAAACTGTCAGGATATCTTGGCGGAGCCCAACAGACCGGCGGAACCACCTCGGCTTCTTATAACTGTGATGCACAGCGTATCTGAGTGATCCACTCGCCGAGCCCCAGAACGACCGAGCTTGGTTGCATTCCGGCAAGCCGAGCTCGAGGTAGGTCAAACCGGTTAGCTGTAGGCCTTCCTGCCAAGCTGAACGCACGAGCCGTGGAATCCGGAATGGCAGGCAGTCATCTCGGCCGAGCAACTTCAAGCAGCCCGGTTTCTACACAAATGAGCACAAGTAGCTCGGCCCAACATAGCCCTGTGCCTTAACCAAGAAAAACCTCTCTGGACAAGCCTAAGACACCGCAGCCCAAACGTGTTCGACACTCAACTTGCCAGGCCTTTGCCATGGCCCATTTCAGCTCATAAAATCTCCCTCTCAATTGCCCCTTAATTTCGTCCGCACAAGTGTGACTGGGATTACATGATCCAACCGGGGTAGACTCTTCCTCGGTCCTCAGTTTGCAAGTAGTTAACCGGGCTAGTCGACATGCTTGGTTTCCAAACTTGCCCGGTCGACGCCTCATATCGCCTCCCTGTTTCTTCAACTCTGACGCCGCCATTAATTGGGACACGCGTCGCTCGTTTATTGGCCTCGAGCAGCCAACCCTCACGTCCCTTCACATTCAAAAATTTTGGCGATCTCTCTCTCTTCCATGTATACGTCATTTCTCCCTTCATTTCGTTCTTACTGACTCTCCTTCAGTTCTTGACATTCCAGAGCTCCAGAGCCTTCGAAGAGCCTCCTTCTTGCGTCTTGCTGCATTCGTGCTTGAAGACTCACCTCCAGCCCCATTCTGGTAAGTTCTTCGACACCTTTATTGCTATTTCATTTGACATTCTTCGGTTTAGGGCACAAAAACCATAGATTTTAGGGTATGGCTCCCCAAAACCTTCCCATGCCCCTTGTCCTCCTTGCTGCTCTTCAGCCCCAGTGATGAACACCTGAAGATCTGGAGCGAACCGGGCTCCAGGTCTTCTCTTGATCTGAAAAAACATTAAGACCGAGCAAATTGCTAGTTTTAAGAAAACTTCTGTAGAAACCGAGGTAGGTAGAGTACTTGACCGGTCGACCGGGCTAATATCTGGTCCGCTTGACCGGACGTGCTCCTGTATTTACCTTCATGACCGAGGTGGTCTGGCACTCCATGAGACCGAGCTAAAGTCAAGCTCCTTTTGCGCGACCGCGCTTCCACTTACACTTACCCTCCTTTTCCTGCAGAGTCCAAGGGGACCACACCAACTCCGAGGCTCTCTAAGACTGAGCAGCCATCAAGCAAGAGTTTGTGCCAAACCACCTCAGCCGAGCTAAAGCCAGCCGGCCACACATGGGGCGCTACCGCTTCCTAGCCAACACCCCGGTCGCTCTAGCCGCGTTCTAGGAAGAATACGATATCCCGGACGACGTTCACTTAGAGCTCGGCGTTGAGGACACAACCCTATGGGGCATATTAGACCAGTTTCCCTTCACCGTGCTGTCCATTATAGAAAGGGGCATCCACTTCCTGGTTAACCCGCTGATCTGTGAGTTCTTGTGGCGTACCGGGCTAGCTCCAACCCAGGTCTCAACCAACACTTACAGAATAATCAATGGAATCCACGAACTGAACAATCGGCTAGGAACCAACCTAGGACTAGCCGAGATATTGCGCCAGTATACTCTCGGGCATACAGGCGATGGCCTTGCGTACTATTTAAAAATCAAACCGGGCAAGAAAAAGATAGTGACCGGCACCCCAGACAAGGACTTGCACGACGATGACTTTTTTTGGGTGTCTGGCAACTACGAAACAACCGATGTACCGGGCTGGTTTATCAGCAAAAATTTCAGCGATACATGTAAGCGCGCTAACTGCTCGGTTAATTAACTTTCTTCACTATTCTGTACTTAGCATTTTTTTCTTCTTTCCTTTGCAGCAATCGAAGCTTTGCAAGCTAACTATCACTACCCCAACGAAGCAGCCATTAGGACCGTGCTTCGTTATAGAAACCGAGATTGCCACGAGCTCCTCGGTTACGTGCCGACATACCGATATTCAGCCCCATGCCGGAGTAAGGTAACAGACTTTCTCTGCGCTCCGTCACCTCCTCCAAACCCCACATTGCCAGACGTGCCCTTCATCCGGTTAACTGAGGCAAAAGAGATGGCAAAGAGAAGCCGCATCAAGAATCTCATCACTGCGACTTCCACCGAGCTACCGAGCATCCCAACCCGCACAGCCGCTGCCGGGCAATCAAGTGAGACCGTGGTCGCACTGGCGTCTCCCGCCGCCGGGCAAGCAAGCAAAGACAACCGCCAGGCTAGAAAAAGGCCACGTGCAGACCCTTCCGTTAAGCTGGTCGCAGAGCTAAATACCGAGCAACCTGCCGTCACGACCGACCCAACACCGACATGGAGGCCGCAACTCAAGCACCGGGGCAAGGAGATCCCGGCAACCGCCTCAGTCAAGGGCGACAAGGAGCACCTACTGGCCTTCGATCTGACCAAGGCCTTGCTGCTGCCGAGCGACGTGGTCGGCAACGACCATGTGCCGGACACCTGGTTGGTGAAGTCTTCAGTGAAGTCCATGACCAGGGTAAGAACTTCGCACACTTTGCCCAAAACTTTCCAAGTGTTTGCTCGGCCTTCTCTCTAATCGAACCTTCTTCTTGCAGGCTATCCAGAAACAACACTTGGTCTTGGAGCGCATTCACCGACTCCGGCAGAAGGCCACCGACTCTGCCAACCAGGTGGAACAACTTCATGCCGAGCTCGGCCGGTCCAAAGCATCACTGCAGATGGCGAACTCTGATAATTCTAGGTTGCTCGGCCAGCTTGGAACCGCCGAGAAAGAAAGGGACGCGCTCCGGGCCGAGCTGGAGACTTTGAAAGAATCAAATAAGAAGGAGCTGGAGGACGCCAACAACGCTGGTTTCAAGGAAGCCGAGGAGAGCTACACCAAGCAAGTCCATGCCACCCAAGATATCTTCTTCAAGG